TTGTAAAGACGGATGGGTTGCCCCCCCATCACCCCAGGTGGGGAGGTGGGAGCGCTGCTGCAGCTTGGTTGATGCAACCCCTGCAAAACGCATGCATCTCACTCCCGCACTCCCCCCCCCGCCCCAGTTGCACGGAGAGGGGAGCACTCCCATGGCATTGTAACGATTTGCAAAGATGCACGCATCACCCCAAGTTTTGCGGCGTGAGGTGGGGAGATTTTTGCCTTCCTCTCCCCCCGCCCCGGTCCCATTGGATGCTCCAATCCACCCAGCCCCCCCCAGATGCAAAGCCTGGGGGCGGCTGCACTAGCATCACCCCACCTCACTGCTTCAAACCTCCCAAACCAGAGGAAAAGTGGAAAAAAAAAATAATTCTGTGGGAGGCTGTGGTTAGCCTCCCCATCCATGCCAGCCCGGGGGTCCCAGGGGTGATCCCCACCCTGCAGCCACCATCACCCCAGGGCGAACAAACCCCATATTGACACCAGAGAAAGAAAAGGAATTTAATCAAGCCCAAAAAGTCATGGGACCTATTGGTATGCAGCACCCGTCTCACTGGCCTCCCTGAAAACATGCCCCTACCCAGAAAATGTAGGGAATCCCATCGGGAAAACCCTGGGAATGCAGTTTTTAGTGCATCCTTGCACCCTCATATTGCTGCTTTTTAACCAGTTCTTCTCTTTTTAAACAGATTGCTGATTTTTTCCCCACTCCGGGTGATAAATTTGGGTGTTGAGCCATAAATCAGGCAATATTCCCATTTCCTACAGCATTCCTGGTTTAGCGATGGGGATATCCCACCTTTCCGGGATGTTTTTTTGCTGAAAAATTCACCAAAAATCCTAATTTTCCAAGTCTGCTGTGGAATAAATCCCAATTTCTTTGCTGGTTTTTGGTTCAGATTTCAGTAAAATGGTAAAAAAAATATTTGTGGGTGATTGTTTTCCAGTATTTTAAGACCTGGATAGGGCAGTTTGGGGCTGGTTGAACCCTAAAATGTCGATAATAAGGGAATAAATGAGGGGTGTATCTGGGAAGGGGAGCAAATTTAAAAACGGTGAAAAACAGGCTTTTTGGGAAAGCTGAAAGATGGGTTAAAAAAAAGAGATTTGGGGATGCTGAAAAATGATTTAAAAAGAGGTTTGGAGGAAGGTGAAAAGTTGGGGAGAAGCTTGGGGGGGTGATGCCAGGTCCATCCCCCTGCTAGTTGTACTTGGCTCTGAAAAAATGTTTTTCCCCCGGTTATTATTCCCAGTTTTCCCTTTTTTTTTCCTTTTCCCAAGTGGAAGGGATGCTTGAAGGCATGGGTTACCACCCCCTTTCTCCCCCCCCAGCTACATCCTCCATCCTGATACCCCTCCAAAACCCCACAGAAAAATGGGGAAAACCCTGAGAAAAAGAAGTAAAAACATGGCAAAATGGGGAAAAAAAAGCACTGGAAAAAGGGAGAAGCCCCTACCTGCGTGCAGGGCCAGGAGGCAGGTGGGTGGCAGCAGGCTGGGGGGAGTGGGGTGGCCCCCCAGGCCAACCGGCGCTCCCCACATTCTGGGCAGCTTTTTGCCCCCCGAATCCCTCCGTTTCCTGGCTCTGGGCACGTCCTTTGGTGCTCCCAGCCTGGCTCTTCGCCCGGCTCATTTATTTGGTTGTGTGGTTGGTTTTTTTTTCCCCTTTTATTTTTTGTTCTTGCCTTTCTCAATAGGGTCCCTGTGTCCTGCCGGCTTTCGCCTCCCCGGCGGCCTCGAGCTGGCATTTATCTGGGGGAAAACCACGCAGATTTGCAATTCACCACCCCCCTAATCCGACACCCCCCATTTCCATGTTTTCCCCAATGAGGTCAGAAGCATCACTTAACGGAGCCCAGCTGAGTTTTGCAGACAATCCCATAGGATTTAGGACTCCGAGCATTACTTTAAGTTGTTTTTTTGTTTGTTTGTTGATTTTTATTTATTTTTTTTTTGGGGGGGGGAGGGCCCTGCTATTTTTCAAATTCCCCCCCAGTTTGTTTTTTTTCTCTTCTCAGGCTTTAAAACGAAGCTGTGGTTGCATCCAGGCTTCATTCCAGCTCTGGTGCCAATTAGCGCTGGTTCCCCAGGAAGCACTGAATAGGGCGGCAGGGACGCGGGGCAGGATGCCCAGAGCAGCTTCCCACTCCCAGCCCGAGACCTGCCAAGCTCATCACCCCAGTGAGCCTCTCACCCTGAGGAGGCTCCCAAGCTCCGAAAAGGGGTCAAGGCCTTTAGGAATCCTGTCTCAGCTGGATGGGGGGGATTCGGGGGTGACTTTTTTTGGGAGTGATTTGACAGGGGGTTACTACAAGGAGGAGTTTGGG